TATTTTTTCACTACATAAAATGTATAATATCTAATGTTTTTTTTATCCTATTTCATATGAAAATCCACTCTCAACATGAATGTTAATCATATATTTTTTTCTTTGACAACAATCACAACTCATAACCAAATTTATCGCTACGAGTTGCAACCAATATCTAAACCAAAACCAAATATTCGGATAATTGGCTTTCGATTTGAATAAAAGGATCGAAATCCTCACTTCATGTTATAGTGCTTCGTGGCTAGATTGAAATAAGCCACTCAATGGGCTTTAGGGTCTTTTAGATCAACCAAAAAATAAGCCTATATAACAAAATATGAAAAAGTTACTTTAAAAATAAAAATGGGCTTTGGAGAATTTTTCTAGCCATGCTTTGGGCCGTGCTTCCCCTCGGGCATGCAAAAAAAAAAAAAAAAAAAGAAGTAACCAATAAGACCAATTCATTTGTTTGTTAAAAAAGAGATACCTAGAAGCAACCAAAAAACTGATGTACATGGAGAATGAGTCTAGAGCTACGGTGAATGAACGAGTTACACTCTCACTTCTTTTAGTTTTTTTTTATAATGTTATTATTTATTTATTTATTTTTATTATATTTTTTTTAATTTAATATTATTCTTGTATTGTCAAATCTTTTTTTTATTGCATTTACTTTACTAAAAAATATATTTTTAAATGAATCTTTGATTTTAATTTTTTTTCATTCCTATTTTTTATTTTATATTGAGATATTCTATTTATTTTTTAGACGAAATTGAAATTTACCTACCGTTTTCCTTATTGTTTTTTTTTTTTTTGGGCAGAAATGGTTGAAAATAGAGAGTTGAACAAATACAAAAGATGCAGGATCTAAGTGAATCAAATCAAAAGTTTTAGCTGGGATTAAAACAGCACAAAAACTTAAGGAAAGCATTCGAAATTTACCTTAATCTTGTAGGAATGCATATTAATCGAGCGGGCCAAGACACCAAGACTAAAAAAAAACCAAGTTCGAAGTTGATCTGATATATGACTCGGTCGAGCCTACGGATCAAAATATCATATCCAAACCTGTCCATAAGCTATCCGGCCCTGACTGCCCGTCGGCAGTTTGGCCATTAACAAGTCTGCATGTATATAACAAAGCCTAGTAAATAAAAATATGTCTACATATCTATATCTATATATATATAATTTTTTTCAGGATATTCCTTTTTTTTTTTTTGGATTTTTCATGTTCTGTTGAGTTTTACAAGTTTTATATTTTATAATTAAAATTTTTTTTTAGTGGTTTAAGAAGTATTTTTTTGTCTGAAAAAGTTGTAAAATGACATATAGAAAACAAGAAAAGGAAAGAATACATAGGAGAATAAGAGAGTGAAATTTTTTTTTAAAGAACATATGGAAGTATACACCTAATATGCAAGGGTAGATAGATATTATGTTATGGCAACTTGAGTTATTAAAAAAAAAAAAAGAATGAATCGTAAAATCATATGCCAATTAATTTTTATTTTCAGATTTATTTTTTTGATAAATCATATTGGTTTTTGCACTTGGTGATATTTAATTACTTGCATGAAAATATTTGCTAGAATAACAAATTAGAAAATAAACTAAAATATAAAGGTTAATTAGAAGAATTTTATTTGTATAAATAGATTGGAGATTGTATGTAACTAGAAAGACAGGTTGAACTAACTGTTTTTTAGTTTTTTTCTTGAAAGATAAAAGAAAGAGAAGGGAAACAAAATTAGACACAAAAACTTGAGATGTTTTTTAACAAGAAACTAGTAAAACGGTTATGACCAATCTGAATTATTTAGTTATTTATTATATTATCAAGATTAATTAATTTTAATAAAGTACAGAAAGTAATTAATTATTTAGGCTGGCAACTTTCAGGACTCACTTCTAACCATATCAATCGGCAAGCAGATAGTCAGGAAAAAAGAATCATTTATAAATACTAATCATTAGATATACTTGTAACTGTATTTCTGTGCCTCGTAAAGACATGATATCCATCGTGAATTAATATTACTCTATGCATTACGTGCGTCTGCTCTGCCTACAAAATTGGTAAAAAAATGGTGGGGAAAGGCCGTGGGGGCAACCTAGTAAATAAATACAAACAGTGAGGGTAAATAAGGTCGGGAAAATCGAGGCGTAAGATAGAGAAAGAGAGGAATGTAGCGTTATATGGTGGGGGCTAGTTAGAAGCGCAAAAGGCGCAGGCACCCGGTCGTATGCATCCTCTCTCCTACTCTTATTTGACAAATAATTCTTCCCCAATCGCTCGTCACTTGCGTGAAGTGCTCACTATTGCCTCTCTTTCGGGTTCCCTTATCCTCTTTCTTTGAAATTCTCCTCATACTGTCCAAAAAATGGTGGAGGAGCCGATGTTTTCTCTCTTTTCTTAAGATTATGAATTTCACATCGTCGACTAAAAGAAGTTTTACTAACAAACGTAATAGCAACACAATAGGAGTTAGAGAATACGTAAACCTCTGAGTTGTTTTTATTGCTATTGTTATTATTTTAATTATAGATGTAATGTTATAAATGAAAATTGTGTAAGGCAAAGCTGATGGATTATAATTGCAATTTATTTAATTAAAACAAAATATTGAGCTGTTGAAATTTAAGACAACTTATTGAAACATAAATTACTTTTCTATGTAATTATGTGGATAGTACGAATATAAACAAGTATAATTGATGAAGTATGAAAAAATCAATTTAAAATGTTTATAACACCTTTTGGTATTAATTGTAGAAGATAAGATAGAAAATGAAATTTAACATTACTCGTAAATAAAGTAGTTATATAAAAAATATCCATATTATTGTTTGGTGAGTTCATATCACATTATATTTATCATAAAATATGTTTTAGTTATGTTCATATCACATTATGTTTTAACAAACACACACCCTTATATATATATATATATATATATATATGTTCTTTAATTATATATATATATTCAAATGAGTTTGGACATTGATCGAGATTAAAATTTTTAATTAAATGAGTTTAACAATACATCTCATATGTATTTGTTGCATTTAAAAAATTATAATAATTTAAATATTAATTTTAAAATTCCAACTCAATAAGTTAAAAAAAAAAAATCTTTAATCGTTAAATTTGTTTAATATTTGCGACACTACTATAGCATTACATAGCTCGGAAGCTTTGCGCGTGCTTAAAAAGCATAAGCACAAATTTATTCATTCATGGTATTTATGATAACAAGCTCTAAAAATTAGATTAGAAGCAAAGTTCCAAAACGCAGCGTTGTACTGACTTTTCTACAAGAGAGTGTGAATAATTAATTAATCTACCAATCTTTATATGAGAAAAATATTAGTCCATGAGAGAGCGTTAAGATTGGAAAAGGGAGAAATGGGGTCAAATCTGTAAATAAAGAGAAACAGTGGGTAAGTGACGCGCCCCAACACGGAGTGGGAGCAGGCTTGTCTGCAGAAATGATAAAAGAACAAAGAGTGATGAGACTTGAGATGGTAAAAGAGTGGACTGCTAGGTTCTCTGACTCACTGAGTCCTAACAACTATCAACACGCCCATGATAGTTGCTGCCAATGCCAAATTCTACAGGGCCCAAATTACATTGACAACTCACTCTCTTTCTGTATATACTTTTTTCAAATTACGCACTTTTATTCATGCAATGTTATGGTGTCTCTGTGTCTGCCTCTGGTCTCAATTGAATAAAACATGACCTAATACAAAAACTGGTCCAATCTTTGGACCATTTAAACCATACCGTAAATTTCATCAAGTTTTATTTGGATAAAGTTGATGAAATTTGGATATTTTCTAGGGTCAGTATTGTTTCAGCTTTAGTAGATTGTTTTTATCTTATTGTTTTTATTGAACAATGTCAGCAAAAGAAAAAAGTTTTTTTTTTTTTTTTAAAGGAGGGTATTTAGATAAACTGAAGTTACTGAACTTGATATCCCTTCTCCTCTAGCACTAATAATCACATTTATGACGATATAAATATAGTTTCTGAAATTACAAAGATCAATTAATTAATTTTATAAACTATAGTACACAATAATAATTAACTTTTTGATGGACCGGACTAATCTGCTAAAACTCTACTTCAATTGAAATTACTAAACTCTTTCTACTATTCATTAATATTGTATGATTACCGAGAGAAACAGTTGTGTTTTGGCCAAGCCCCAAAGTGATCCCTGGACTAGAGTTTTTATTTTTAATTTTTTATTACATAATACTAATATTTTTTTATTAGTTTATATATCAATCGAAAGATAGGAGGATATGAGGGAGGGGTATTGACAGAAAATATAACTTCGGGGATTGATTGCTAAACTAGGTATATTTAGGGAGGCCAAACACACGTTGAGAAAAGCAAATGGAAAAAAAAAAAAAAGGGCAAATGAGAGAGAAGGATGGGGGGACGAGAATGGTGGGGAAGAGTACTGTCTTAGCCTGTCCCCTCCACCCAAAGCAGTCTCTCTCTCTCAAAAACAGTCCAAAAGCCACCCCCACATTGGCTTTTCTAATTTGTTTGCCTTTTGTTTTCTGTGCTTCCTATGTCTGCTACTTCCGCTCCCTCTTCCCTGGGCCTGCAAATGGGGGAGGAATCATACTTTGAATTCCTTGTTATTATTTGATTGATACTCGTACACTATCCTTTCGTTTTGTTTCTCATCTCGTCTTTTACTTACCCTTATGTGTGTCTAAAACTAAAACTAAGCATGACCTTCTTCTTCTTTTCTAATTTCTATTCAGCTTCTAGCGCCAGTCTCCTGTTTTGATTAGCTTTATTTATATATGATTTTGTTACCTCATTTCCAATTTTCCTTGTTGATTACTACATCTCTTTCTTTGTCAAATTTCTTGATGTAATTTCTCTGTGGTTATGTGGTTTTACTTGTATTTTTAAACCCACACTACTAACTACCGACTGCTGAGATAGATACATAATAAAACACACTGGGTGGAGTGGTGTGGTGTTCATGGAAATTGATCTGAACCATCCAGTGACTGAGGTGGAGAAGAATGCATTTTGTACTAATGGGGACTCTTCATCTTCTTCAAACTCAACTTCTTCAAATTCTTCTTCATCTCCAGTTTCCTCTTCGATTTACTTGGAGCTTTGGCATGCTTGTGCTGGTCCTCTCACTTCTCTCCCTAAGAAAGGGAATGTGGTTGTCTACTTCCCTCAAGGCCACTTGGAGCAGGTTGCCTCTTCCTCTCCTTTCTCTCCCAGGGACATGCCCAACTTTGATCTCCAGCCACAAATATTTTGCAAAGTTGTAAATGTGCAGCTACTTGTAAGTTTCTTTCTTTTCTTTCCATTAGTTGATTCTACTTATTATTATTTTTTTCTTTCTTTCTTTCTTTCTACTGAAATATATTTCATTTGTAGGCCAATAAGGAAAATGATGAGGTCTACACTCGACTTACTTTGCTTCCTCAACCAGAGGTATCATCTTGAATTTTTACTATGCAGTGTATCGTAGCTCATTTGTATTGTGTGAAGAAAGTACGCTTCCTTTTTGTGGGTTTTTAATCCATTTGTTGTAAATAATATACTGAATTTGTTCACTCCAATTTACTCTCTGTTCATATAGTTTCATCTGGACGTAGCTCCAAGTAGCTCAAAGTTTTTATTTTAAAGATGATGGTATCTTTTTTCTTGGGGATGCCATTTAGTTGGTAGGACAGGATTTAGAGGGCAAAGAGCTTCAAGAGATAGGTGTAGATGGAGAGGGTGACGGTGGATCACCAACAAAATCAACCCCACACATGTTTTGCAAAACACTTACAGCTTCCGATACTAGCACCCATGGAGGGTTCTCTGTTCCTCGAAGAGCTGCCGAAGACTGTTTCCCTTCACTGGTGTGATTTTTATGCCCTTCAGTTCCTTTTTTATTAGACAGGTAGATTAATTTAGTTGCCCAATTTATAATTTTGTTCTTAACCTGATGGCATTTCTTTATTTGCAGGATTATAAACAGCAGAGACCCTCTCAAGAGCTTGTGGCCAAAGACCTGCATGGAGTTGAGTGGAGATTTCGTCATATTTACAGAGGTAAATCTTGATTGAATTCTGGGTTTGGTTCAATTCAAGGAAATGTTGATAGGATTGTTTATTGTTTATTGCTTTTTAGGTCAACCAAGAAGGCATCTTCTTACTACCGGATGGAGTATTTTTGTTAGTCAAAAGAATCTTGTTTCAGGGGATGCAGTGCTATTTCTGAGGTACGCATCCTGGATAATGATGCTGAAAGCATTTTCCCCTCATGTGGAGTTTGGGCAGAAATCTTTCTTCAAATTTAGTAATTAGCTTATGAGGAAAAAATTATAACTAGAAATCAGAATCGTCACTTGAAATGGAATTATTTCTATACAAAAGAAAAGGGGAAAAAAAACAAAAACAAAAACAAAAGAGAAAGAAACCAATAGATGAAAGAACTGGAGAAATTTCAGTTGCTGCTAGATCCTCTTGTTTCCTGTAGTGGATTATTGTAACCAAGTGTTTCCACCTTGCAGTAGTTTGAAATTTGTAATCTGTTTTCGTTTGTTATAGGGGCGAAGATGGAGAGTTGAGATTGGGGATCAGAAGAGCTATTCGACCTAGAAATGGTCTTCCTGATTCTGTTACTGGCAAGCAGAATTCAGTTCGCAGTGTTCTCTCACTGGTGGCTAATGCAATATCCACCAGGAGTGTGTTCAATGTTTCCTATAGTCCAAGGTACCAGAGCTATCATAAATTAAATTGAATTAATGTTTTAGCCCTGTCATTTTGTTAGTACTCTTCGTTTAGTGGGATATTACTCTTAAGCTAACTGTGTTTTAGCATAAACATGTTGTATAGCAGTTCCAAATGGTTACAATAGAGCTCCCTGTCATGTAAATGGCAATTTTATTGTGTACCGTACAATACTCTGAATAGGATTTATTTGTTATGGTAGTTTGCTGGATTTTCACGTCATTATTCAGATGATAAGATTGTAGTACTTTCTGCGATCCCAAGTTATTTAGCTGAGTGATACAAACTGAGTGAGAACATTTGATTGAGACTGTTGGCCCAGGCCAAAAGAAACGGCAATTCAATGCACTGTAATTGGTGTTTTTTTTTTAAAAGCTGTCTCTAATTCCTATGGATTAATTTCCTGAAAAAAAAAAAAAAAGCATGGGTAGAACATATGCTCTTGTAATTTTCATAGTTTGGACTAAAGTTCTTATTCTCGTATGGAGATATGTCACTTTCATTTGATCAAATGTGTAGGCTAATCTTCAGGAGCCTCTAAGTATATGTTCATAAATGAACTTTCTGACTTGATTACATCTTTTGTAAATAAAAGCTTTTGTTCTTGTATATGAATTTTCACTTACTCCTCACTCTTATTCTTCCAACAAGATACCGTTCATGCTCCACATCAATTTGCTAATTGTTGCTCTTTTAAATTACTCCTTTGCATTTGATGTAGGCATGCTTCTGTCATTCTCAACTCAAGAGTTATTCCTAAGCTATTAACTCATATATAAAGCAGAAGAAACAATTTTCAAATATTATTCTTCATTCATCATGAAACCTCCTCCAAAATACATGGAATATATGGTGTTTATATAGACACCAAGAAACACCACATATTCTAGTATTATTATGAATGATAGGAATAGGAAATAAGAATAATAATGAATGTTATCTTAAAAAATAATGAAATTCTAAAATATAATTTGCCAAATAATAATAAAAATCTATTATTATTAAATTACAAACATGAAAGAAAGTTCTTTCTTCTTGTCCTGCATCGTCATTGCTTTTGCTGTTTCTATGGGTTGTGGGGTTTGTATCTGTTCCATGAGAACTATGCGACCTTCTAGATGAAAACACTTCCATCTCACAAGTAACTATCATTGTTTCGTAGATTAGAATTATAGGAAAAAGGGAGTATGCAGGTTGCGTTGCAATAGGTGCTAATAGAGAGCATTGGATATAAACATACAGAGATGTTGTATAGTGCATTCCAGAAGGCATTATGTGTAAAACAATTTATGTTCTCCCCTGTTGGTTTCAGTAATATGGATTATACTTGAATGACATTAGCAGGTATGCCATTTCAGGTGGTGAAATTGTGGCTTTGGTTCTTTACACTAAGTTAAAGAAACGTTTTAACTTTTTTTTTTCGTAACAAGTTTAGGTAACAGGGGTCCTAAAGGATTGAATAAAAGTGAATTTTAAAATCAAATCCACAAGTTCATGTCGGTTGTTAATAGCTATTGCATACTTGGATATATTACAGGGATGTAGTTCTTTTCTCTGCAATTCTCGAAAATGTTTCTGCTTGTTTGTCAGGATCGTTCTTGATTAAAAAAAGGAAAAAATAATAAAAAGAAAGCTTTTCAAAATTGCTGAATTGCAGGGCCAGTCATGCAGTGTTTGTTGTACCCTACCAAAAGTACATAAGAAGCATCACCAATGCAGTTTGCATGGGGACAAGATTCAACATGAGATTTGAAATGGATGATTCTCCTGAAAGAAGGTCTTGTATGATTCAGATATATGGCAAGGCTAATTCATTTTCCTGTAGTGATATTCTTTCAAGAATATAATATTGTTTCTGCCTTTGTTTCAGGTGTAGTGGTGTAGTAACTGGAACAGCTGACTTGGATCCCTATAAATGGCCTAACTCAAAATGGAGGTGCTTAATGGTGAGAGTTGTAGTTTGCTTACATATCATGGAATGCCATTATAATTTAGATGGTTTTGTTTGCTATGTTTCTTCACATAGCATCTTCTTCATTTCATCTACCACCTTGAATCTAATTTCTTTCGGTTTGCATCTAAATAGATCAAGCCTCCTCGTTGAACTTGGTAACCATGGTTGCTTTATAAAAAACATAAGAGTTTCTCAACATTGATTACCTGTTAAGAGACTTTCTCTTAACAATGAAGTAGAAGAAGAAAACGAGAGAGAAAAGAGAGAATTTCTAACCGAAAATAAACTGTTATTCTTATTCAGTGAATATTTCTTCAGTTTGTTAAATATTTAACACTTGTCCATTTCAATTTCAAGATCTTTGTAACTAGCTACTGACTGTTCTAACTAACTAACAGTTTCTGCTACATCAGCAGATATTACAACTTGTGAAAAACAACAGTAATAACAGGAATTGCAAGCTAACTAATACAATCAATATAACATGAGTATCTCTAAAAGGCTATCAGATTCAAGGATCATAACATTGCCATTCACATAAATGAATCCTCGTCCTCAAGTATTTGAATCAAAGTCTGGGAATTGCACTTCCAACTATCTCAAATCTTCCCAAGTATCATCTTCCTCTGGGATGTTGGATCGCTGGATTAACCCCAAGTAACAATGGATGACGTAAATGAATCCTCGTCCTCAAGTATTTGAATCAAAGTCTGGGAATTGCACTTCCCACGATCTCAAATCTTCCCAAGTAGCATCTTCCTCTGGCATGTTGGATCGCTGGATTAACCCCAATTAACAATGGATGCTGGCAATCCATGTAGTTTATAGATGTGATTCAAGAAAACTTTAGCTACATCAGATGCACTATCAGGGTGAGATAGTGACCATGTTTTGTAAACCTGTCTACCCGCCACTGGAGTCACATCTTTTCCGCTTGATTTAGGCAATCCTTCCACAAAAACTATAGCAATATCCTTCCATGCCCATCTGGCATTGGGAAAGGTTCCAACAGCCCAGGATATGGTATTCTTTCACTCTTTGCCCTCATGCAAAATCTCATTCATCAACATATTGCTTGATTGCCTGTTTCAAGTTTGGCTAGTTAAACATACCTCTAGTTCTATTGTAAGAATTCTGAATTACAACATGTCCTTCCACATCTGAAGCATGCACAGCTTGCAACAATCTCCGCTTCAGTTCATCACTGTCTCCTACATATATTCGATTCTTATACCTAAGTACACCATCAGAATAAGTGTACTATGGATAAGAATTCATGCCAAGCAGCTTGTCAGCAACTTGTGCTTTTGAATCATTAATGTAGGCTTCTGCTACCTCATTGTACCAAGCTGGTACCACAACGGTAATGGCTCCAAAACTACCTGTACATAGCTGTTGTGCATCCTCCCATGCAATGGGAAGCCTTCTGGATAGAGCATCAGCAACAACATTTCCCCTCTTCTGAATTGAATCTCACACCTCAATCCTAGCAGCTTACTTAAGCCTTCTGTATTAGAGTGTGAATCTTTTGTTTCAACAAATGCTTTTCTTCTCATTATCAGTTTTAATTATTAATTTCTCATGTTCAAGATAATGCCCCCAGTTGTCTATTGCCATCAATAGTGCCACCTACTACTTCTCATGTATAGGCATCCCCAAATGCTTTGAGCTTCAAGCCTTACTATAGCAGGCTATATGTATGCCTTCTTGATTCAAAACAGCTCCAATGATATATTCCCTAGCATCTGCTTCAAGAACAAACACCTTGTTGAAGTTTGGTAGTGCTGAAACTGGACTTTCACATAAAGCCTGTTTCAAACTTTCAAAAGCTGCTTGTGCTTCTTCATTCCAGTGAAAATTGTTCTTCAAAAGCTCTGTGAGAGGTTTCCTTAATAAGCCATACCCTTTAATAAACTTCTTGTAATATCATGCAAGTCCCAAAAAACCCCTCAGTACCTTGACTGTTCCTGGCACTGACCACTTTCTAACTGCTTCTGTCTTCTTGGGATTAGTTGCCACACCACATTCAGAGATGATGTGTCCCAAATACTCAACCTGTGACTGATAGAAAGAGCATTTAGATTATTTGGCAAACAATTGATTCCTTTTCAATACATCTAGCACCATTCTGAGATGCTTATTGTGTAGTTCCAATGTGGAACTTTACACTTAGATATTATCAAAAAACACTAACTCAAACTTACTGAAGAATGTCTTCATCATATCCTGGAAGATTGCTGGTGCATTTGTGAGGACAAAAGGCATCACTCTGAACTCATAATGACCCTGATATGTTCTGAATGCAGTTTTCTCTACATCAGCTCCATGCATATGAACTTGGTGGTGACCTGTCCTTAATAAATTTTGGAGAAAAATGTGATCCTTAGAGCTCACCTAACAAGTCATTAATCAACGGGATTGGAAACTTGTCCTTAACAGTCATCTCATTAAACTGTCTATGGTCCCCATAGAACCTCCAAGACCCATCTTTCTTCTCGACAAATAAAACAGGTGAAGCAAATGGACTGTTACTAGATTTTATGATCCCATTGTTCAACATCTCTCTTTCTAGTTTCCCAATCTCATCCTTTTGCACGTAAGGACATTTTTAAGGCCTTATCGTGACAGGGAGCCACTCCTGGTATCAGTGGAATTCCATGGTCATGCTTCCTGAGTTGGTTCTGCAAACTCATCTCCATAGAGATTCAGTACTGCTTTAATCTCTGGATGGCATGCTTCTGTTTTAGTCTGCTCTTGAAATGTTACAAAGAAAATTTGAGCCACAAAACCTGTCTTTAAGATTCTTTGGAACCTTTTATGCAGTAATTATTTGTGATCTTACCTCATTAGCAATACCCTTCAATTTAATTGTATTCCCTTCCTTTTCTAAAGAGAGTTTCATTTTTACAAAATCAAACAAAATTGGAGAAAGCCAATCTACCCCTAGAACCATATCAATTTCTCCCAATTTAAGTACTCTCAAATCAGCTTTAAAATCATGGCCTTGCATGCTCCAAAAGTACTCTCGACTCTTGGCTTTAGATTTCCTTTTTCACCATTAGTCACTGCTACCAAGAGCGTTGTTGTCTTCTCCATAGCAACATTAACTTCTTTAGCAACATTAAGATTTATGAAGTAATGTGTGCATCCACTGTATATCAATATGGTAATCTCCTTCTGTCAACAGCTACAAATGATTTTGATTGTGTTGTTTGAATATTTATTAGCCATAGCATTAATAGATAACTCCAATTAATGCTCCAATTCAACCTGTTCTACATCGTAATTCCCATTTCCATCCTCCACAGCTACAAATTCTTCATATTCCTCCTGTGCATCCATCAAATTCAATGTTCTTTAGCTGCATTGATGGCTGGAACTATATTTCTCACACACTTATAACATTGACCCTATTCAGCAGGATTTTTCGGGCTGTATGTGTGACTTTGACAGGATTAGGCTTAGAAAGATTGCCATTTGTGTAGTATCGGAAGGTTTAGGCAAGAATTTTCTGGGTATTAGAAATAAATGGAATGGTATTATACTGTCTTGGAGGAATTTTTAGTCTTTTAGGCTAAAGTAAAAATGGATTCTTCTTGCCATTTAGCTACAAGGCTTGATTTTCAACATTGGCTTGATTTCATCCTTCATGCCACTAATGAAGCTGGAGATGAAATAAGCTTCAGGTAGGTATGGATTAGCAGCAGTCATTGAAGATTTAAGCTCTTCTAACTTTTATACTTACTCATCAATATTTTTTTCTTGCATCTACTACCAAACCTCCTACAGATCTCCCTAACAAACTCTTCCCATTTTCCAAGATCACCACCCACCACAAAACCTTAAAACCAGATTTTAGCCTTGCCTCTAGATACATAAAAGCAATTTCTACGAACAAAGTTCATTTTAAATACCTCTTACACTTTCATACCCATCCTCTAGGGATTTTACCACTAAAGAACTGAAGATCAACCCTAGTAATTGCAGCATTATAAGCAAGTCTAGAAAACTCAGGGAAGAAGGAATTCTTACCATGAGTATTCATTCTTGGTGTAGAAATCAAGCCATCTGTTGATGAACTTGATTTTGACTCTTGCACTGGTTCTTGTCTGGCTCTTTAGCTTTGATCATCACCATCAAAGTCTCAAATTGAAGCTGCTCTTGTTGTGATTGATCCTGCACTTGCTTCTTGATAACTTCAACCTGTATTGACTGCTGCATGCCTTGAATCTGTTCATCTAGTAGGGTTTTTTTTTTTTTTTTTTTTTTTTGCTCCTTCAAGGCCTTTGCATGATTATATTCTACCATTTTTTAGTGATATGTTGGTCCTAGAGAGGCTCTGATACCATGTTTAGAGACCTTCTCTTAACAATGAAGTAGAAAAAGAAGAAACGAGAGAGAAGAGAATTTCTAACTGAAAATTCAACTGTTATTCTTATTCGATGAGTAATTTTTCAGTTTGTTACTTATTTAACAGTGTTATTGACAGTGTCAAGATCTTTGTAACTAACTAACAGTTCCTGCCACTTCAGCAGATATTACAAGTGAAAAATAACAGAAATTGCAGGCTAACTAATACAATAAATATAGCTAGAGTATCTCTAAATGGCTATCAGAATGAAGGATCATAACATCACTTAATTATCAGGATCGCTAATGAAATTCCCTTGCCCCAATAATTGACGGCAATCTTTGTTCTTCTAAAGATTTTGCACTCTACTGGGCACATAATTGTTCTCAACATCGCATTGATTTTCACCTAATTGTCAGGATCACTAAGAAAATTCCCTTGCCCTGCATAATTCAATTATTGATGGCAATCTTTGTTCATTCTGAAAATTTTGCAAACTATACAGGGCACATATTGTTACCTTTTTTGTTTAGGACTTTATAAATCCTGTCAAGGAACACTGCTGTCTTCACATGCATACCATTTTTTGGCATTTCCTTTGTTTAGTGAAATCGGAACCTAGAAAACTATTTAGTTATTTTTTTTTTTAACCTTTCGGTGATCTATTTTAGACTCTTGTGCTATACCATTTAACAGGTCAGATGGGATGACGATATCATCAGTGATCATCAAGAACGACTTTCCCCATGGGAAATTGATGCTTCCGTTTCACTCCCACCCTTGAGTATTGAATCTTCCCCAAGGTTGAAGAAACTGCGGACTGGTCTGCAGGCAGCCCCAGCTGATAACCCCATAGCTGGTATAAATCTTTTAATGAAGAGATAAATATTCCCTTCCCTTTTTTTTTTTTTGGTTATCTTTAATTAACTTGCTAATTTCTTTAGCTCTTAAATCATTTTCTGGCTGCAGGAGGTGGTGGGTTTTTGGACTTTGAAGAGTCTGTAAGATCCTCTAAGGTCTTGCAAGGTCAAGAAAATATTGGTTTGGTATCAGCCATGTACGGATGTGATACTGCAAACCATCCACTGGATTTTGAGATGCGGAATACAGCACGGCAAAATCTCATTTTGACAGGAATAGAGAAGGCTAAAATCAATGAGTTAACTATATCTCACCCTGCCACTTACACAGGATTCACGGAATCTGATAGGTTTCCGAAGGTCTTGCAAGGTCAAGAAATATGTTCGTTGAGATCCATGGGTGCTTTGGGAAAGCCCAATATTGGATGCAGTTCTTTCCAGATGTATCCAGAACCCAGACCAGCTTTCTATCCTGTAGCAGCAGAAAGCCTTAGAAATATGTACTTTCCCTATGGTGATTTATACAAACCTGGCCAAGATCCCAGGAGACACTCTTATGCAACTATCTTCCCTGGAGAGAATGTCCATTTCAATGCATCTTCTATTCAGACTTGTGTGGTTAGGGAAGAAGTTAGAAAGCCAAATCAATCAAACAAGCATAAGATACAAGAAAGTATTTCTGCTTCACCGGCTTTAAGTGCAAATCTAAGAAATCAAAAGGATGACTATTTTAATGGGAATTCTACTGGTTGCAAACTTTTTGGGTTTTCCTTGAATGCAGAAACATCTCCAAATTCGCAAAACACTGGTAAGAGGAGTTGCACAAAGGTAAGCTGCATTAGAAGTAAAACTTGACAATTACTTGCCTTCTCTTGACCTGTAGCCTGCTCATTTTAACATAAATTTGTTGAAGGTTCACAAGCAAGGTAGCTTGGTTGGAAGAGCTATTGATCTCTCAAGACTGAATGGATACAGTGACCTCTTGAATGAACTAGAGATACTATTTAGCATGGAGGGTCTTTTACAAAATCCTGAGGAAGGATGGCGGATCTTGTACACTGACAGTGAGAATGATGTAATGGTTGTCGGAGATGACCCATGGCAGTAAGTGTCTTTGATAAAATTAGTGATATGTTATCTGCTATCCAGTAAATTGGATGATTATGTCAATTTAATATACCTCACCTCAGCACATTCATATTATTTTAAGTGAGCCTTTGGATATATTTTAATGTGATATTTAGCAGTACTAAGCAGGCAAGTAGCACACGAATGCTTGTGGGCATAGGTAGAAATGAGAGGTAGTGTTTTCTTTTAGATGGTCAATGCCTGAAAACCCAAGTTTTTGTAGTGAAGTACATAGACGAAAGATGCATTATTTGTTGATATGCAGGAATGGCTGGTGATGCTATGAAGCCTGCTTTCTATCTCAAACTTTCAAATTGTCTCTAGATTCACCTGTGTATAATTGTCTATTCAAGGAAGAAGAATTCATTGACGTAAGAATGGTATGGAAAGGAGGTTAAAAAGCTTACCTATCTATTCTTAGTGCATGTTCTCTGTTTTGGTGGAAAAACAATAACACCTTGTCCTCAAGGCATGCCCTATGATTTGAACTTGGGATTTGAACACAATGTTAAAATCCCATTAGAATGGAGGTGCCAGATTTTATTGGTTGGTGGAAAGCCCTCACTTTGTACAGCGCAGGTTCTAGATTTCTAATGGGAAAAAAGCGGATAATGGTATTGGAAATTGAAGCTTATTTTTCATTATCTATCTGTGATTAATAAATGCTGTTTTTGACTCTTTCCTAGATGATGTTTACTTATGGTTAGTTTTTCTGGTGACAGTGAGTTCTGTAATGTGGTAACCAAGATCCATATCTATACCCAAGAAGAAGTGGAGAAGATGACCATTGGAATTATTGGGGACGATACTCAAAGTTGTTTGGATCAGGCACCTGTGATTATAGAAGCATCCAAGTCTTCCTCAGTGGGCCAGCCAGACTGTTCGCCAACAGTAATAAGGGTTTGAAATTCGTAAATGATGCAGAGTACTATGCTTGCTATGTTCCTGCAACTTATTGTTAGAAACCTGAACCTAGTTGTGTGTCTTGTATCATTCATGTTCTGAGTTCAGTAGTGAATGGAACTTATTGAAGCTTAGGACTTCTATGCCTTTCTTGGCGTCTCTATGTAAGGATGGTGAATTGATGATTGAAGTTTGTTTAGGGTATGGAGCTAGTGATTTCTTTTTCATCCAGTATATGTAGTACAAGTAGTCTTATTCACTGATTGGCTACTTGGATCACTATTCACTAGTATGAACTTTCAACGTTGGCTTGAGGAAATATGGAATAGACTTGTACCTAATGCAGTTTCGGAGTTGAATGCATCATGGTAGTGGCGGGTTGGAGATTTTAGATATTACTTGTAAATTTGTTGTCTATGAGACTATATGAGTGCGATGATTCTTGTAGAGTTTTGAGTTTGACAATGTATGATGTTTGACGACTCTACTAGGGATTGGATATGCACGAGATCACAAGCTGTGCAGGATTAGATTCAGGCACAGTATCTTAATGAGAATGTCACCAGGCACAAACAACCAATCTTGATCCTATGATAAATGCATAAGATCAACTTAACTCTTAGCGAGCAAGGAATTAGTATTTTTGTACGTGCCTCCATTATTTGTTTGGCATGAACTTTGCAAATTGATTTAAGGTTTTTTTTTTTTTAAGTCATTAATATATATTATGACTGAAATAAAAAAGTAGTTACAAAATTGAGTCAAAATTTTGATTTAGTAAGAAAAAAATAAAATTCAAGGTTTAAATTGTATAGTTATATTACTAGTTAGATATCTACGTTACTTTGCAAACAAACAATTGTTATATATGTAGGTTTAACAATTCGTAAGGTGTGATGCAAGTAGAAGTTTTGTTTTTTGTGATTAATATAAATCAAATATATATATTTAGCAAAATTATTTGATTTATATATATTTATTAATAAAATAATTAATAATTTATATTTGAATAATTGATAGGTTCTTTCAAAACATTATTTAAATTAGTTTATTTAAAAATATAGATTTTAGAAAGTGAAAAAATAAATAACAAATAATTAGTGTTATGTGTACGGGTATATGATTAATTTATAACAAAACTATATATATACACACACACACACATATAGCAGATTCAAAATCTATAAAATAAATAAAAAAATATAAAAAAACCACTTAAATTGTATGGAATATATATAAGTGAATAAATTAAAATAAAAATACTACAAAATTGGTTCCGATAAATTCGATTATATATATATATAAGCAAATATAACGTGTGAATTTTTTTTAATTGATTACTAATTTTTTTAAAAAATTGAGTCAAATTATCTAAAACACATCTCTCTCTCTCTCTCTTTCTCTCTCTCTCTCTCTATATATATGCAACTATACTACTCTAATTTAAAATTTTAAAAATAATCAATCGTATAATTAAATTATAATAATATATTTTAGAAAATAAAACACTCACGTTCTAAAATTTTATTCCAAAATCCATATATAAAAAAACCAAATTTATTAACAAATAAAACAGGAGTTACAAAATTGAGTCCAAATTTTGTTTTAATAAGAATAAAAAAAATTCAAGGTTGAACTCGTATGGTTATATTACTAGTTAGATATCTCGCGCTACGCTGCAGATAAATGTATGTTACATACGTAGGGTTAAATTTTTGTATGGGGTGGTGTGAGTAGAAGTCTTGTTTCGGTGATTAATATGAATCGAATCTATTTATTGAGCGAAATTGTTTGATTTATATATATTTATTAACAAAATAATTAATAATATTAGTATAAAAATTTATATTTGAATAATTGAGAGGTTCTTTCAAAATATTAGTTAAATTATTTTATTTAAAAATACAGACTTTAGAACATGAAAAAATAAATAAGAAATAATTAGTGTTACGTGTGTAGATATATGGTTAATTTCTAACAAAACTAATGATATATATACACACACTTATTAGATTCGAGTGTATATAAAATAAATAAAAAATATTCAAAAAACCTAAATTGTATGAAATATATATAAGTGAATAGATTAAAATAAAAAACCATAAAATTAGATTTGATAAATTCTGATAATATATAAAACCCGTGATTTTTTTTTAATCGATTATTAATTTTTTTAAAAAAAATTGAGTTAAATTATCTAAACACACATCTCTCTCTCTCTCTCTCTCTCTCTCTCTCTCTCTCTCTCTCTCTCTCTCTCTCTCTCTCTCATATATATATATATATATATATATATATATATATATATATATATATGACTATGCTACTCTCATTTAAAAATTTTAAAAATAATCAATCATATAATTAATTTATAATAATATATTTTAGAAAATAAAACACTCACGTTCTTAAATTTTATTTTAAAATCCATATATAAAAAAAAATTTACTAAAAAATAAAATCATATCAAAAAATTAAAAAAATTAATTTGATGAGAATTTTAATAAGAAATAAATAATTGAAGAAATAAATTTTAAATAATAAAAGTAATATAATCAAATATATATGTTCAAACTAAAATTTTTAAAAAATATTATATATATTCTATTATCATCAAACTGTACTTAAAACTAAACAAATAATGATCTATTTTCTATATTTTAACACCTAATTCCATGATAAAAAAAATATAAAAATACATTGTTGGAAAGAAAAGAGAAGAAGAAGAACAGGCTCGAGTGCTTGGGCTGCTTGTGCAGGCTCGAATGCCAGGCCAATTTGGTCCGCTTGGGCCTATTTGGTCAGCCTGTTCAGCCATGCCAGCTCAGTGCTAGGGCTGCTTAGGCCTGCGCGCTAGGGGCGCTTGGGCTTGCTTCTCCAAGCTAGCCAGCGGCCCCCCAACCCCCCAACAAAAAGAAAAAAACAAAGAAAATCTTGCAATTTTAGGTGAACTCAAGCTCGTCGAAAAATCACGGGTTAAGTTTCAGACATCAAGAAACTCAATTCTAGCATTAGTCTTTTCTCTCAAACACCTCTAAATGATTGAAATAAAGTCAAGAAACACTTTGAAGACCTTAAAAATCATTTTAATGCACATTAAAACAAAATAATAAAAAAAACATAATCAAATAGGATTTTCTTTTCTTTTTTTTGCCTCGATTTAACTCATCCAATTATTTAATTATTTGAAATTATCATGAACAAACTCATCTCTCAAAGATAAAAAAATCTAATGGAGTTTCACTAACCAAAGTGGCCTAAATAAGATTGACCGATGCTCTCTTTCTCCTACTATCTCTCTTTTTTTCCTACCTCCTCTCTACACAAAAGGACCAATATATATTTATAAATAAAGATATGGATTGAAATAAAACTTTTAAAAATATCAAGGACCAAAACATAAAATATTGTATAATTTGTATATAACCGTCCAAGAAAGAAGCAAAAAATTATACAAAAGCTGGGCTTCAATGAATAGTGTTAATTGGTCATAAGCTACAATAAATGAACAATAAAAGGTTCAATTGTTTAGTTTTTTTATTTTCAATCTCCCTTCAAAAAATTTGCTTCGAGTTTGTTTTTGCAATGACATTTTTTCTCCACATTTTTGTCATAAGTTACTTTTCATGAGCAATCTCAGATGGACTTTCGTTAATTTGATTTGGTCCTGATTAAGCCTGTTTAGCAGATAAGATCTCTTTGTGAGATCAGCATAGCCACTAAATTGGTAATTGGACTGTCATCTATAGGTGTCATTTGATACTGGATAGGGTTACATGGGCTAATGGTATTGCCACTCCGCAATTGATGATGGCATTCCACTCCACTTAATACTGCCATTACAAGTTTAAATGAACTTGTTGAGTGGATTGCTATTATAACAATATGAAGTGGCATTATTACCATCTTATAACATGACTCATTAAATGGATGCTCCATCGCAGAATATACACACATTCCTTTGAGCCATATGAATAATAGAACAGTCTATCTTATCTGCCTGTAACGTTTGGGGCGAAGACCTATGCCAAGAACTCACCCCTGGGGATTCAAAACGTGTAACACAAAAGCTTCATATAAACAGGTTACAGCAGGTTACCGCACAGACCTCATAATTCAAGCTGAAATCGATCCGGGATAGTTTCAAGTACCCAACAGAGGTTAAGTCAATTTACCCTCTATTTCTTTCTACAATCCCAAGAGTTTAAGGCTTCCACAGCAGCTAGGCAAAGCTATGCTACCAATTTTAATTATACTTTTTCGTAATTGTAGAAAAATAAACAATTATTGAACGTGAAAGAAAGAAAGATATTGTCGCATAGAACAAGATGAACAGGGAGAAAAAAGATAGAACAAAGAGAGGCGTAAAGAAGAAATGTTCTCTTACAAAAGCTAATAACAATCCATTTTGTGACACAAGTGGGCCCCCCTATGCGGGCAAAAGGAAAAATATTATTCATGATGCTGCCGCAGGATGCTCTAGAGCCTAGACAACATGTTCTCTCATTATTGCTTAAAGAGTTCACGACCAATGATCATTCTTCTGATCTCACTAGTCCCAGCCCCGATCTCATATAGTTTTGCATCTCGAAGAAGACGACCAGTTGCGTACTCATTTACATATCCATTTCCACCTAAACATTGTATCGCCTGCAAAATTCGATCTGAAAACATAACCAATTTGAAAAATCATAAAACATAGAACTTGCATAACGTAAAAATCAATTATCCTCTCTGGATCATGAAACTTGGTTTCGATTTTCTCAGTTGTCGCTATTTGCCCTCATCTGAGAGGAAGCACCAGAATCACTTGTCCATAATTTTTAGTCATGACAGGAATAAAAATGATGATACAGATGGCGAGGAGAGATGTGGTGCAGCAAAATAATAATAATAATAAACCTTGAGGGCTAAAAGGATCTGTGCAGTTAACCACAACTATTTTCAGGCGCTTTTTATGTTGTACAACTTCATTCAACTTTAGTGCTGCTACTGAACATGAAATTTCGCAATTCATAAACAAAAGGGTGGAAGTGCTCTGTCACCTGCAAAGCAACTTGTGTCGCTCTTTCAGCTGCACAAAGTATGACTCCAGCACAGTCCTGAAAATATATATTCACATGAGTTGTCACATGGTTGAAATCTAACATTTTATACTTGTATATGCAATGGCAAACAACCCATACAAAGGGATGAAATAAAAGAAAAGAAAAATATAAGAGGACAAAAAGACAACTTCTATCAATGGGATGGATTAAAATGCAGTGTGTGAGGAAGAAGATTGCATTTACTCCACAAAATAAGAAGATAAAGTGGCCAGTTAAAGAAAACAAGAAAGGCTAAGAAATACAGACAAAAGGCCACCCAAAGAAACAGATAGAGAACAAAGAGATTATAGGGTGTGTTCAGTAACAAAAAAAGTTTTTCATTTTCCAACTCCCCATTCCTACTCTATTTCTAGCTCTCATTTTCCCAGGGAAAATCAGATAACATGTTCATCCATTAAAGTTTCATAACATTTTTCAAGTTAGAAAACTAAAAAAAACATGTTCAAACTACAACAGATTTTCACTAATAGAAAATAGAAAAATGAAATCATGTTCAAAATACATTAATTCAGTCCAAATTTTACTTGGTGTATTGGTAATAAACAAAACTAAAATATAAATTCAGAGATTAAATCTAATTTAACCCTAAAAGATGCAGCATTTCAAAAAAAAAAAAAAAAAAAGTGTCTAGCATGTCTCCCTCATTGACAATTTGGCACACAAAACAACTTGCTAGATAATGTAAATCAAAAGCACAATGGCAGCCCCTATTTTGTTCCACTATGAATCTTCCTCATTGACAATTTCGCACACAAAACAAATTGCTAGATAATGTAAATCAAAAGCAAAATGGCAGCCCCTATTTTGTTCCACTATGAATCTCCCTCATTGACAATTTGGCACACAAAACAAATTGCTGCTAGATAATGTAAATCAAAAGCAAAATGGCAGCCCCTATTTTGTTCCACTATCAATCCAGTAATGCCAACACAACCCACAAACCTCATCAAGTATACTACCATCACAACTACAAAAACCCAGATCGCAGTCAACCTTCACTTTTCTCATCAAAACACCATTCAAACGTGACCATCAAAACAGATCCAGAGATGTATAATAACAAATAAAAGGAAGATGTCGAGGATGGGGGGGGGGGTTGGTGGGGTGGGAGAGCAGAAGAAGTTAGAGAGTGGTGGTTTGGCTGCTTAGTTTACAAATTGAAGGAAGTTCAGATTACATATATAGAATATAATTGGCATGACCCAAAAGTGATGAGAACATTTTTGTCCAAAAGTATAATTTAGTTGGAAAATTTTGGAGAAGCGTGTTTTCCATTAAGCTTTGCAGGGGAGAAAAATTAGGAAAACATGCCCAACATGTTCTCCAACTCAATGCTTATTTTGGAAAATGGAAAAGAGTAGCTCTGTTTTCCATTTTATAAAATATGTATTTGAACACAAAGTTCATTTTCCATGTTCGTTTTTCTGTTTTCCCAAGAAAAATGGAGCATTACTCCATTTCTGAATGACCTCTTATCTATCCAATTAAGTAGCCATCCTCAGTGGCATATACCACAAAAATCATTCCCAATATATCCCATCAACAGAAACTACGAAAAAAATATTGCTAAGTGTATTGTGGCAGATATCCATAATATCTATAATTTGCTGAGACAACTAGCAATAGTACTAGGTTTTACGAGCAAAACAAAACAGCTCTCAAGACGCAAACCACATTTGCATGGACCTCTACATCCACAAGAAAAATTTGGCAATCAGAGTTCAGCACATATGGGGTTTCAATTATACAAAGTGAACAAACTAAAAACAGAAGAAATATTAACATCTAGCTATGTGAATGAGATCATCACCTTAGAGTCAATTCTACCAGTGTCACAATCCCTTGCAACAGAATAAACATAGGACCTAAAATGATGAAAATCGTTAATAGCTATCATACAAACATCAGAATTTAGAAAAGGATAGTCCACTATATTATTAGGATAAATACCTTGAAGATTGTAAAGAAGTATAAATGTCAGCAATCTTCCCCTGCAAATGAAGATCAATTAAAATCTATATATGTGAGTAAAACTGATGCACCAACGGTGAGTGAATTATGGGGATGACATGTGTACTAGCCACATGCGCAATGGGATCTACTAAAAGCTTAATATTTTTTTCATGTGTTTCAAATTACCATGTGTAAAACCATAATTCTTTATCTAATGCGAACAACAATGGAAGAAAAAAGTGTCTTTCTGTAGGCCTTGTATTTCCTCTAAAAATTTGTCTAAGTCTAGGTTTTATTTTCTATTTAGTATTTTATTAGCATTAAGGAGTAATTAGCTTTATTAGGTTTTCTTTTCCTATTCTATATAGACTTCATATTTTCTTATTTAGAAATCTAAGGCCTTAATGAATCTGGACTACTAAAACTCTACGGATAAGCATACAGTCTATCAATATTATAAAATTGACGTTTATTAATAAAATTTAAGCAATTTGCTTTTGATCATCTGACTCAATCTTCCTTAAGTGTGACTCCTAAGAACCCTAGGTGTGAAGCTTAATTTTTTTTCCCCTCTAGGTGTTACTCATATAAACCTTATTAGTGTGACTAATAATTTCTACAAATTCCCAGCAGAAATTCATTTCAATAAAGCCCTAAGCAGCCTCCAAAGTCAGATCTAGAACAAGCCCCCAAAGCTGTCTTGCATCATTATCTTTCTCATTATTCATTGTCTCTTAAATTGTTCCTTAAATTTTCTCCTAAAGTAAAATGATATTTCGTACAAGCAATTGGTTTATTTTGGTTCCAAAATTTAATTTAAGTGGTCAGAATTTTTTTATCCTTTCATTCTTATTCATAATTTTTCTCAAGTCTCTCTCTCTCTCTCTCTCTATTTTTTTTTTTTTTCTTTTTTTTAAGGATTAGGATTGTAGCCCATGTAAAAGGAAAAATCAAATGTAATAAATATACCTAGAAATTTTAATTTTGCAAATATGAAAATTTCTTAGTTTTGTAAAAGGGCACCAATTTGTAATTTGACCAATTTCCCGAAATTTTTATCCTTTCCATATCCTGTCTACAACAGGATGAAAAAGAAATATTCAAGAACATGAAAAATTTTGCATATGAAGAAAAGAAATCAAATTTGAACTTCATGTACATTCCATGTAGATAAATAATATCTATTATCTATATAGCTATATAGCTATATATAAATATGAATGAAAAGATAAAGAAATATCCCAAAACACATCTACCAAAGTTTCGTATCGTAAATATTTTTATGTACTCTTCTAATTTCTATGTGCATTAAACTGCTACCATAACATATACTTCTCTTATTTTATACTTTATTCTCAAGCTTTTACTTTTCTAGTTAAAGACTAAAGTCTTGGGCTAATGTTGGATCTGCTCATGGACCTCTTGACTTAGGTAAATATCTAATGCGTTCACCCACAGGAGAAGTTATTTTTGGAAAAAGTGTGTTTTTGGGATCTGCAATCTCCTTGGGCAGCAATAAATTTCTATAATATATTAGAACAATCATTTATAGGAATCATTAAATCCTATAAATGATTGTTTTGATATACTATAGATTTTATTTTGGGTTACCATTACCCTTTTTGTAGCGATGAATCTTGTATGTGTTCCTAAGAAAAGGAATTTGTCCATTTTTTGGCCAAAACAACAGATGCCAAGAAGAACAAAAGACCTTGGACACGTAAGGGTTCTTGAAGTAATATTTTTGCATCCCCCGGGAAAAGGTAGAAGAATGTGACCTATTATTGGACATACAATGCATTACAGATGTATAATCATTATGCTTTAGGCCCAAAAATTCTTTCACAAATTAATCCATCTTTTTCAGGTTTATTGGTTTTGTAAATACACAACATGAAAAATTTTGCATGCATGATTTTTTTCTCACAAGGGGTTTTCAAAGAAGGCAGAGATTTACATTAAATTACAAGAGCTTGCAATAAGAAATCTTAATTAAGGGTGTTGAATCACCATTCATGACAATGGAAGTTGCAAAAGCGACCAAAAAAAAAAAAAAAAAAAACCCAACTATAGTGAAATCAACCATCCCAAGTGATTATCAAGTCTATCAAATTATGGTTCATGAAAGCAGATCATGTTAAAGCATAAAATGAAAACTAGTGAAACTCCTGCAACACAGGGGCACATGATTAGTTACAGGTTAAGACCCAGCACAAACACCAGAGCTAGACCACATTAGAAAGTTTGGGTCAGCAATAGTTATACCTGAATAAACTGAAACTCTCCAATTGGACGACCAAACTGTTCTCTTTGTCGAATGTATGGAAGAACAATGTCAAGACATGCCTGCATGATGCCAAGTGGCCCAGCAGCCAAAACAAGCCTCTCCAGATCCAGCCCTGACATCATGACATACGCACCTGAAAGAAAAGGACACCTTTTGATGCTTAGAGAAAAAAGGAAATAGAAGACGACAGCAATCTATGTCATGGCAATTTATTATGATAAATGTGATTTCTCCCCAACAATTTGAACAATTAAAACATTACCTGGTCTACATATGTGTAAATCTTTGGTTATCTGTGCATCATTAAGATCATGATCACTGAATTTAGCATTTTTCCTGTGAGAGGCTGAATCCTTGGACGTATAAAACCTAATTTTATGTCCAGTTACATTTATTAGGTACACTTAGTCTGCCTAAGTTGCTCATGTAACATGACCCCTCCCCTAGACAAATAACAACTTTGTTTGCAGTGACAATCACTCAATGTAATGAGACATCGAACATCTTACAAAGGTCTTCCTTGAAAGAAACATAAGAAAATAGTAGGAATGAACCTTTTCCTTCCTGCCCAAGAACATTTTCTTCTGGAATGAAGCAGTTCTCAAACACAAGCTCACATCTGCTCAGACCATCAATTATATTAGTAGGAAGGAGAGAAAGAGGGAGGTTGGCCGACTAGAAAATAGAAAACACCACTAAGAGCATTCTTGACATACGTATCACTTCCTCTCATACCAAGTTTGTCTAATTTCTGGGCAGTGCTAAATCTGCAGTCACCAGTAAAAGACCTTCCATAAGTCAAAGATTCAAATTTTAATTTTCATTTGTTACAGTGTTTTTACGTTCGCCATGCCAAGAGCTTTCTGAAACATTTAAGGATTTTATTGAATAGAGTCAGAAATAACTCTTATCATTTGAGCAATTCTTTTTCATAGAAAAATCATTTCTGCTTTCAAATTGCTTGACCAAAAAAAAAAAAAAAAAAAAACTCATGCAATCATTATCCATTAAAAGGCATTCCCATTTGAATAGTGCTTAGCAAAATTTTAATTAAACGGAAGTGGGTGCAAATCAGTTCGAATATCCTCAAAAGTCTTTTTTGCCTAGCTCATTCACAGGAAGTATCTAACAAATAAGTCCAAAAAACAAGTGGCTTTCCCATTTGAATAGAAAAGGATGGTTCAAGTACCCAGGCATTCCCTTCTCAATGATAAATGCCGTGATTCCTTTTGATCCAGCCGTAACATTGGTTTTTGCATAAACAACCTGTCCCAATTCTAGAAATCACTTTCCACAAACAAAAGATAACTTCATAGAATGAGAATATGATACAGTTAGTCAACATCACACTAATAAATGCATGAGGCAACCATCGAGTACTAGCTGTAATTCAAAAAAATCCAAATATTAATGTCTTCCGAAGAAAAAAAAAATGATAGGTGTAGCCAATTCTAGACATTGATTTTTGGTACCTTTATCAATCATACACATCTGTTTTCACATAGAAAACCTGCGCCAATTCTAGACATCACTTTCAACAAACAAAAGACAGCTTCATAGAATGGATATGATACAGTTAGCCAACATCACACTAACAGTTGTATGAGGGATAACCATCATGTAAAAGCTAAAGTTCAAAAGAACCAAACATTAATGTCTTCCAACAAACAAAATTGATAGGGATATCAATCACAGCAGTAGAGTAGGAATTTTCTTTTCAATTGATCAGAAAAGGAAGGGGGACAGATTCATATACAACAAATTATACTTTTGAACATGCTACACAAAATTTCCCAACTGAAATCAATTTTCTGTTGCAAGAGAATCAGATAAAATAGTTCATTTTTCCTTGTCAATTTGTTTCATCTCCAAAGTTCATGCGTTTGGCTTATTATGTAAAGTGCTCCAACAGAATTATAAACAATATGACACCCCTCATGTTCTTGAGAATACAAATTGTAAACATTACAACTGATAGGAAAAAAGATTTTTTAAAAAAAAGATAAAAAAAAAATCATTGAGTCCATTGCGCAAGTCCAGTTTTCCAAGCAACCCATGCATTTATCAATCCATTAGGTGAACTAATTAGAGAAATAGTCCTATACAGTTAAATATAAATTGGAAATAACTTAAGTTTCAGACTCAAAGATGTCGTTCAACATTAAAGAACCAAAGAGAAATGATCGGGTAAATATCTATACATGCAATTGAGAAGAAAGGAGACAAAAGAGAGTGGGGAAAAAAGGAAAAATATTGAGAAGTTACCAAGGTCTGAGCGACTGGCCCGTTGGTGCACCACATCTTGTTTCCATTTATGATATAGCCTCCATCTACACGATCAGCTTTGCATTTCATGCTAACAACATCAGAACCAGCTGAAAGAACACAATTATGAGCCAGATAACAGATTACCTAAAAGAATAGCTACAAATCCCTCATCAAATCTTTGATAAAGGCAAGACACAAGCTGTGCAAATATATGGATTACCATTGGGTTCACTCATTGCAAGTGCTCCTACATGCTCTCCACTGATAAGCTTCATAAGAAGAGAATATCGATCAGTATTAAAAAAAAAAAGTATTAGGAAAAAAAAAACCATAATTGCGAAAAGCATATTTATCAATATTAGAGAGGAAATAAAAAGTTCAGGTTCATATTCCTGCCTTGTTGAACGAGGGACATAGAGATTTGATATCATCAACTTCATTTTGCACAAGAATTAATAAGAAACCTTAAAATATAAGGCATGTTTCTGAGACACCATTAGGACAAAAACAAATAGGCTATGTAAAAGAAGGAAAAATGAAAGAACCTTGGGCAAGTATTTTTGTCTTTGAGCAGGATTTCCATTCCTCACCTAGAAAGCAATTAAGGAAGTAAGAGTGACAAAAAATACAAGACAATGGGAATAAGAAAAAAGGATTTGTCTTTGTTTACCAACTGATTGATGCAGAGGTTAGAATGGGCACCATAGGAAAGGCCAACAGATCCAGAAGCACGGCTAATCTCTTCCATCGCTATGCAGTGATAGCAGTAACCAAGACCAAGTCCACCATATTCCTCTATGAAGGAAGAGAAGCCTTATATAAGGAAAATTAAGAAGCAACAAGAAGAAGAAATTTGATTAAAGTCCATCCCTAACCTGGTGCCGTAATCCCATGTAGATTAAAGTCTCCCATGAGTTTCCATAAGTTAACCTCCTAGAGAAATTAGGAGTAGATTAATCAAATTGAATAATTACAACAAAATCTTTATTTTTTATTACCTTGGGGAAATAATTTGTTTGGTCTATTTTGGAGGCATGAGGCGCTATGTTTTCTTGTGCGAATTGAGACACACTTTCTTTAAACTGTGAAAAAGAAGAAATAAATAGTAATCGAGGAAAAATTATTATTATTATTAAGATTTTTTTTTTAAAAAAGAGATACCTGAAGCTGAGTATCGTCGTAGAGAAGAGAGGTAGAGGTGGTGGAGAAAGAAGAAGCAGCAGCATTCTTTTTGTTTAAAAGAGATAAAGACCTCCTCGCAGTCGCACGAAACACTCTCTGCATCCTCACTACTTATTGGAGAAAGAGTGAAAGAAAAAAACTACTTATAATGTCATTTCGCTTTAGTTGCGTTTGTTTGTGATCCTGCGATGTGGATTTGGATAGACATTTGACTCAGCTTCCATGTGTCTCTACTCCATGCTTCAATTTGTATCTACCCAATGCGCCTCGATTGGCCCAACCTTTTTGCCCTTTTTTTTCCCTATGACCAAAAGAACCAATTTGGTCCTAAATTTACGTTGACATGTCCTAAATCCTAAATATAAGAATATATAACCTTGTTACGGTTATAAAAAAGGATGGTGAGAGATAACAGTGAGCAATTAGTTAAACGGTTTAATTTTATATAAAATTTGGTTTGGTTTTTGATTAATCGAATAGTGAAAAACCAAAATCGAAATAAGTTCAATAAATTTGGTTTGAAACTCGAATTATTTCGAATTAACTTTACAAAAAATTGATTTTAACCAAAATAATTTTTTGGACAAGCCCAATTTTTTTTTCTATTTTCTTTTTCTACGACCAAAAGAACCAATTGGTCCTAAATCTACATAGACATGTCCTAAATCCTAAATGCGAGAATACATAACCTTGTTATGGTTATAAAAAAAGACGGTGAGAGATAAGGGTGAGCAAATGATTAAACGGTTTGATTTTGTATAAATTCGGTTTGATTTTCGGTTAATCAAATTATGAAAAACCAAATTGAAACCGAACTGAAATAAGTTTGGTAAGTTCGAGTTGAAATCGAATTATTTCGATTCGATTTCGTAAAAAAATTAGTTTTAACCCAAATAATTTTTTGGACAAGCCTAATTTTTTTTTTCTCATTTTCTTTTTCTATGACCAAAAGAACCAATTTGGTCCTAAATCTACTTAAACATTTCCTTGTCGACATTGGCCTCGCGAGGAGGGCAAGAACAAGGAGTCATCGCCTTGTTAATTGAGGAGAATTAGAAAAACCTATACATACTAGTCTATGAGAATATCTAGGTAGGGATCGAGTTAAGTATGGAGAAGACATAATAGTACCGTTATCCCGTCCTATCTAAGTAGCCGTATTATTTGCCTAGGAATATAAAAATCTAGTTTTTACTATGTTATGCTTCTATACCAATTTAAATAAGTTTATTTTGTAAAAATATGGATCGGGGTAGTTCGAGTGTAAAATAGGATAATTTGGTGATGGAGATTCGAGGTTGTTCTAAGGCTAATACGCCCTACCTAAAAGGAAAAGGTGGAGGAAGTTAGAATTTCGGCTAATCATTAGTGAACACAACCTATTATCAACAAACAAGTGAGTTTTTAAAGATGGATAACCTTTTGTTAGCATGAGCAACAAGTCACTCGTTAACTTCACTCACATAAGTGGAAAACCATGGATGACTTCGATTCGTGAGTTTGAAGAGGTTACCGACAACTTCATCACATAAGTGAGAAGTTATCATCCACTTTATATGGCTCGAGCGAGAAGCGGATAACCGGTTTAGAAGCACCGATGGTTTCGTCACATAAGAGAAAAGCTATTGTCGACTTCGTTTCAAATAAGCGGACATTAAATAGAACTTATTTTGAAACCACTAATAGCTTAATTTCGGACAAGCGGACATTAAATAGAAATTATTTCGAAATCACTAGCAGCCTTCATCACATAAGTGGGAGCCACTAGCGACTTCATTTCATTAATTCAAAATTTTAAGCGAAGGAAACGAGAAAATAGGAATATGAAACAAAAAACTAGAAACAGGTATAAAAAATTGATAAAATAATTTCAAAACCACCAACGACTTTGTCACATAAAGGGAAAGTCATTGGCGGCTTCATTTCCAAACTTTAAAATTAAACAAAAGGAAACAAGAAACATAAACGAGAAAATAGAAAATATAAAATAGGAAATAGGTACATAAAACTCGACAAAAAGATTTCGAAACCACTAGCGACTTCTTCACATAAGTGGAAAGCCACTAGTAGCTTCGTTTCAACAATTCAAAATTAAGCAAGAGGAAACATGAACATGAAACGAGAAAAGGGAGACAATAAACATGAAATAGGAATAGAAAACGAGATAAAATGATTTTGAAACTATCGACGACTTCGTCATATAAGTGGATCCATTGATGGCTTCATTTCAACAATTCAAAATTAAACAAAAGGAAACAGGAAATAAAAAATAGAAAACGAGTATAGCAAATAGATAAAATGATTTTGAAACCGCCGAGTGGCTTCATTTTAGCATTGCAAGCAGTACACGAAAAGTTAATCGAATCACAAAAGCCGATACAAACTTTGCATTTAAGTATATAGGGATAAAATAGGAAAACGGGGTAGTTTATCCTAAAATGCCCATTACGAGAATGTCCGCTTCAACCACATTTAAACCATACATATTTAAACGCCATGCAATGATTTCATCCATATTTTTAAGGAATTTTTTATTCACGTTTGTACTAATTTTAGAATTTTTACTCAAAATATTCGTAGTTTCTATGCCTAATTCAAGGGTTAGTTCTACTTTCTGTCTTCGATAATAATTGATTATTCGGTTAATCAAAGAAAGAGAGTAGTTGTCATTGTCAAAATGTCATATGTGTCCCATCAAAGTGACCAAAAATTTCTCCAAAGTCGATGCAAATGACCATGGTTGCTACTACCTAAAGTCACTAGAAATTGGCAAAGTCTCTATGAATTTACAAAGTCTCCCGAAACTCGAGGGACTTTACAACCAAGTTGTTGCTATATTTTTCCTACCAAAAATCAAAACAAATACGAGTTTATAATATCACGTTGTTCCTGCCAAACATAATTTAATAATATAATTTTTTTTCTTTTTTTAGTAAATTAGGAGGTATCGAAGCTATAGATTAGTGGCTATATTATGAGGAAAAGGCTAGCTAAAATGGGCTATTTTGGAGTTGTTTAGGAGGTTGTTTAAGGAAGCTATAAAAGGGCTATTTAAAAGGTTGTTTTGGGCTACTATGAAGGGTATTTTAGAGCTATTTAGGAGGCTATTTTAAGCTATTATGGTTGAGCTTTGGGGAGGCTATTTTGGGCTGCTATTCAAGAGCTAAAAGAGGTGGTGCAAGGTTTATGGGTCGTGTTATACACAAAAGAGGCTCCTAGTGGCTTGTTTACTTAAGGCAAGCATACGCCGGGAGAATGGTCGTGCTTACGAGTGAGGCCGACATGCAGCTATTGTGCGAGGAGGGGGTTGGGCTATGCATACAAGGAGTTATGGGTGTGCAACTTAGGTACGTGAGGAGCTATTATATAGGTGTGCGGATTTGGCATATGAAAAGTTTTTACATTTACGTGTGACTAGCAACGCATGTCGGAGGAAGAAATCGATGGTGTTGTGTCGTGTGTACGAGAAACGACTATGTGCTTGCTTGGGGTAGTAGTTAGCATAAAGGGAAAGCTATGATAGGTCGTGTTTTTTCTATCCGAAAGTGAGGAAGGAGGAATATGAGGTGTGGCTACCTCCTCTCCCTTTTTTATTATAGACAGTGAGGACTAAAAATGAGGTTTTTTTGGAGAAGAAGTTATCGGCTTCTAGCATGATAGTTGTTTGGAGAAGAGAAAAATGAAGTTTTAGGTGAGAAAGAAGGATATAAGCGCTTTAGGTTGTGTTTTTCTTTTATGACAAGAGAAAGGGTCGGTTGGTTCTCACTAAGTTAGTGATTAATAATTGGCTGCAAAGAGCTTTCTTAGGTGAGGGAAATGGTTACCGGGAGAAGAAGAAGGTGAAGGTTTAAGTTTAGGTTTAGTTGAGAGAAAGAAGGGGGTTAGCTAAAGGTGATAATGAATGGTGCATGGTAAAGGAGCAGAGGTGGAGGGGTTATAGTGGTTTGTAAATGGGTGTGTTGGTGAGGGAGAAGAGATGGAGTTTGTGGGATAAGGTTTTCATGATTCAATAGAGAGAGGCAACTACTTCTTTAAGTTGATGATGATGAATGGTGTTTTGAAGGCTTGTGGGGTGGCCATGATGGTTTATCTTAATTAAAGGATAGAAGTTTTGATTTTTTTTTATTGTACCCTCAATTGTTCTTTTTTTTTTTTTAATTAGCCCCTTTTATAACTAACCTAAGCTAATCATTCTAACTGTTTTTTAAATATTTTTTTACCACTTTTGTTTTGTTTATCATTTTTTGGTTTTTTTTATAAAAATAAAAGTAGAAATAATAGGGGTAAAAATTGAGTGTTAACAATTGTCCATTTTTTATAATGTTTATAACATAAAGTCATTGAAAAATATTTTTCTTTGGTTGTACATAGTAAGCTTATAAAGAAACAAAAGAAAATTTTAAGAGGACATGATCGACCACGTCAATTTTTTTGAAGGACATGATCGACCATATTAATTTTTTGAAAGGACATGACTAACCATGTTGATTTTTTTAGAAAGACATGACTAACCTTATTGATTTTTTGGAAGGACATGATCGATAATGTCATTTTTTTGGAAGGACATGATCGACAATGTCGATTTTTTAAGACATGATCGACCATGTTGAATTTTTTTAAAAGCACGTGATCGATCACATTTATTTGAACGAATACAATTGACCACGTCGATTCTATAAGGACATGATCGACTATGTCAAATTAAAAAGAAACATGGCTGACCACGTTGATTTGAAAGGGTATGATCGACCACGCCAACTTGAAAAGATATGACCGGATCAATTTGAAGGGACATGATCGACCATATTAATTTGAATGGACACGACCGGCCACATCGACTTGGAGGGACATGACTAATCGTGTCAATTTAAAAAAAACATGATCGACCATGATGATTTGAAGGGACGTAGTTGGAGGGACATGACTAAACATATCAATTTAAAAAGGATATGATCGACTACGTTAATTTGAAGGGATGCTACCGACCATGCCGACCTAGAAGGACATGATCGACCATAGTAATTTAAAAATAGCATGACTAACCACATTAATTTGAAGAGACATGACCGACCACATCTACTTAGAGGGACATGACTAACCAT